TTTGGATACACTACTAAAGATAATGAATGATGAATGAATTAATGAATACACTAATGACTGAACCTGAAAGGGACTATTATTTGAATTAAAAATATCTCTAACCGTGCATTTGCCTGTAAACCTTATTGTGTAATACAGTTTTTAAAAAGTATTAAACTTATTTTTCCTATACAACAGTAATGAAGAAAACAACAAGTAAGCTCAGTTAAATGTTGACGTGTCAGTAACAGGTGTGAATATTTTCACTGATTATGCATGAATGTACATGATATGACACTGACTGGCTGCGTGTTTTGTCTGTCCATTTCAGTGCACACTAAAACCCATCACATACTGTTGAGCTGCTTCCAGAAGCTGGGGCCTGGCGTGAAACTAAAAACTTGACACAGTCTCAGCAAATGTTGAAGTGTGATTTTTGCAAAACCGTTGCCAGAGCAAAAATTGTTTCTGAGAACACTGGCAAAGAGGGAACTACTTGAGCACTTGTTAGCATCTATTAGCTAGCTTTTTGTGCGAGCTGTGATCTCTACCTACCTAATTTACTGGCATTGTGCAAAACATTATTGGGCAGCTTCATACCAAAGTATGAAATATGTTCCATGTCGGCGTTCTCTGCATATCTATATCCTGCAGTGAAGACAGTAATAGGCCTAAATCTGGACATTAAAAAAAACTTGCAATACGGAAAGTAAGATGAGTCGTATGTCAGTAAACCAAACTGGATAGACATAGAGTGAGGTATCTTATAAAGTGTATTGTGGGTTGCTGAGTTGTCAAATGGCTAACAGGTGTAAAGCTGTGCAACCTTGGTGAGCAACAGTTTTAACTGAATGCATCCCTGCCACCGTCTTCCTTCTAACTTCAACTGCATCTGGTTATTTAAAGCTAGTCTGGCTGGCTCTATTGCATGCAGTGAACACCAAACGTTACATTATTGAGCATTAACCAACCTAATTTTGTGGGACTTTATAGCAACGGAAAGCTGTCAGTGTGCCATGAGTATGACTCACCTGGATTTTATCCTATCACCCAAAAATACCATGGACTGAAGCAGTATCTATAAACAACCAAACTGATTTCGTCGGTACAGAATTACAATGCAGGCAAAAAACTGTGTAGTTGAATTATTGCGAGCAACTAATACTGTATATATATATATTCAAATTATAATGCTTAAAACTATAGTCACAATCAACTAATTTGCTTATAATAGCTGCCAGAGCTAAATACGTCCAAAAACCTACCCAACATGACATAACTGAATGTAGTCACACACTCAAAGCTCACATGCAGGTTTAACCTCACTGAGGTTCCCATCGTTGAAGCCTCCCAAAAAATGCAGTGTTAAAATTTGAACAAGTGTATTTCTTATTTGTACATTGTATCATTATTACCTGCCTCCAAAGAATTTTATGTTTGTTGGTATATTTTGATGGGAAATGGATACAGAGAGCTATTTCATCCCACTGTTATTCTATTTGTGACTTAGCAGATTGAATTGTGAAAAGTTTTCTCAGTAATTAAAGGAATGAAATTATTAAATACAGATATCGTATTTATCAAATTTTGAGTTGGTGTCATTGAAGTATTGCCTATAAATTGGGGACCCCAGGTAGAGCCACTGTTACAATGCAGTGGCTAATATACATGCATATAAACTGAAAACGTCTGTTGAAACAACAAAGATTATATATAATGTTGGAAAACACACATCTGGAGCACTAAGGCATAAACAGTTTATATTTAGAGTTTTGTTTGTTTTATTCTTCAGTATCAGCGGAACACACTGTTTCTAACTGCTAACTATTCCCTGTGAATATACATCTTTGTGGTTACATGTGCAGTTTAATGGTACCACATCATAGTATGAAAAATTCATAAGCATGGGTGTTGACGAAATCTGTTTCATTATTAATGCTGAAGTAACTCTGAAAGTCAGTACATGAAAAAAAAAACAGCAGTGACGACACACAGTATGAGAAGGTCAGCCTATATTCAGTGAATAGTCTAAAGATATTTGCATCACCTTTAAATACGTTTGTGTGTTTATCTTAATAACATGGCCAGTATATTGTGTTTATAACATGAGTCTTAGCAGCAACAGAGTGTGAATTTTTAAGTCACAAAACACCACACATTGATAACAAGAAGGATGATGAAAAACTCTTATCAAGTACAGTTAGCTGTGTGCCTGCCGTGGCCTTGTGCCTCGAAGCACTTTAATTGCACTGCAAATTTGTGTTTGCCTTTCAATATAATCCCATCTGTGGAGACATTCACTGAGAGAGCAGAGATGGGAACAAACATAACACTTCTCTCCATCTGTGACCTCCCAGCTCTTCATCCTCCCTCTGAATGCAGTGTAACAATGGAGAAGAGCAAGGGAGAGGGAGGAGGATTGCCTCACTATTCAGGTATCTACTGATGGTACACAAGCTCAAGGATAGCAGATTCAATTCAGAGAACAAAAGTGTGAGAAAGGCTACAAACCCACATGCAAGATATTTGCACAGGAAGTTATAGGCTTTTAAGATGGAGGCGAATCAGTCTATTACTTAAGAAACATACCGATTGAAAAGTGTAAACCTATGAAATTACTAAAATAAATACCATGCTATGGGCTTGAGCTGAGTGAATTTCTCGGTCTTTATTATAGAGAAAAATGCAAAAATACTTCACAGTTGATTTGTTAAATTTGATAGCTTTTTATACAACGCTGCAACAGGAAAAAAAAACAAAACTATATACTATATACATTTCTTTATGACTAATCAAATATGCATTGTCTCATTGCATTGTCATATTTTCTTTCCCTGTCTCCCTCTGCAGACTTTTTCTCACCAACATCTTGAAAAGCTGAGATACCTTGAGCGATGTTGAGAAACTTCAGACTGTGAATGCGTACACAGCCCAGCTCAAAACACCTGCACGGAAAGGTACAGCAGTGAATCAGGCACGTTCACTTTTCTTACTCCTCGGGCCATTTTATACCAAGTGGTGCAATGCAGAGTGTCTGAATGCCTTGTACTACAACAAAGCCAAAAGCTCATTAGATGACCTTCTCATTTCCGTCACGATACAGATGAATTACCAGATATATAGCATGGATGGATATATTAGCAGAGCTTTGTCAGCATCCGGCTGTGACAGGGTCAGAGCCCCACTGCTTCCAAGCTCACAGCCTTGTTTTGAGCGTGCTTGATAATTTGTTACTGATTGTTTCTCTGTGTCTCAGTGAACTCTCTGCAGTGTCTCTGATCTGGTAATAAGGAGGAGTAGAGAGATCATACATTTTTAGCTTACATCAAAAAATAATGCACATCAGACATGCTACAGCTCACTCAGATAAAAACTGGCAACAGTCATTGTTTGGCACTTTAAAACCAGTGGTCCATCCTTACTCATCATCACTGCAGCTCCTGGGAATAATGTCCCTACACCAGGTGTCCATAGTTAAGATTTAAACTCTGACAGCTACACCAACTGTGTAAACTGGCTACTTCTCTTGTGTCCTCCCATCTGTGGAACACAAATTTGTGTTAAGTCTCAGAAGAAAAACAGCTAGCCAAGACTAGCTAGTTTCTTTTCCCTTGCCTAGTTTGTCATGGATCACACAACAGCTGCTGCACGACATTTGCAGTTTCGCAGATTCCAACCGAACCGCGCTTCGAAACCAGGGCAGTGTGAAATGAAAGTGTAAAATATTTATAAATATATACACTTGAAGACAACAAAAGGAATTTTAGACCAGACACTTTAGGGGTCCGCTGTCAGTGCAGCTCACTGTGCTACTGGCATGAGATGGGCTGTGTGTGTGTGTGTGTGTGTCTGTATAAGTGTGGAAGGAGCATATTTAGTGCTTTCTGAATAAGTAGACCGACTGACACTTAGCGTAGGTGCTCAGGAGCTTCTTTCTGAGAGCCAGGCGTTTCATTGATCCATTGATGGTTGGGTCAATCAATCCCCAGCTCATTATTTGCCTCGATAGAAGAAAACTTCTTTAAAGGGAAATTTTATTCATGAAAGTCCATTTGCTCTTCATGATGAGTAAGCTATACTACACAGCCCGTGAACAGTTGTGTTGTGTTTTCACAGACTCTAACCCAGGTGATGTCATCCAGGTTATCTCGACTTGGATTTACGTCACATTCATGTCATATCGGAGTTGCTGTAGTTACCACTTTCTGACTTTAATGCCCCCTGCTTTATAGTGCAATGCTAAATAAATCACAGACTCTCCATTTAAGCTGTGCAGAGCTAAAAGAGGCTGATTTTCTCACACAAGTGATTAAATCGATACATTCATTGAATGTTTTGGTCATCAGTTCTTTTTGTTTCAAAAAGAGGCCCGCCAACACACTTTCTAATCCACACATAGTCGGCTGAGCAGGCTTACTTTCTCCCTTAGCAACATACTTCTCATTTACAGTATTACAGTATGTCTGTTAACGGGGTCAAACCTGGAAGTTGTCCAATACAGTTCAAAGCCAAAAACTAAACAGAAAAAGGAGAAATTGGCATCTAAAACAAAACAAACTAACACACAAAAAAAATATATTAAAAATAAGAAAAACAGATCCATAGTCAAATCTGTACAAAGAAAATTCGATGCAACTTTTTTCAACTTTCTCATCCTCAAAGCGGGTGCCAGTCTTTCATCTTTCATTTCAAGTTTTGATTCCAATGCCAGTGTTCCTGTTTAATGCCCAATTTTATTTTAACTGCCAACAGCATTCACACAATCCCAGGAGATGAACTGGCAGATCAATCATGAGGTGACACGAAGAAGAGCCCAGACATCTATTCAGAGACTTGCTTTAAAGACTTAAGGCTATTTTGTGGCATCTGGAAGCCTTTATATTTGGTGGCCCACAGGGCTGAGGTGTAGGTACATGTGTTTCTTCCTCACTGTGGGTTCATGTACAACTCATAACGTTTATTTATTGTCTAACCCTTCTTTCCCACACCTCACCTCCTCTTCATCATGTGCAGTCGATAAATACTCTTCAAAAAGATCTGTATTTCATCATAACCAGCACTTCAACTGACCAGTAACCATTTGGGCACATTGCATTTTATGTTTGCTTCTGTAAATAAAAGTAAATCTCTCATGTGACCATTGTTCATGACAGAAAAAAAATACATACATGCTTTGGTTTTTGTTCAGTCTTCAGCTCGAATCATCACATCATTTTCAAATCTCGAACCCCCACCTGAACACAACCAGCACTTGACATTATTAACGCCACCTTTTTCAGTACCTGAAGGCAAGGGATAAAAAAAAAAAAAAAAAAAAAATCTTTTTTTAGATCCATAAATTATTCATAGAGAATATTACAAATGCTAGATACACAGATTAGGCAGAAGCATGCGGTTTTCACTGTAGCTGAGCTGACATAATTCAGACCTCTAACAGTATGTGTTTTTCCTCTCTTCCACCTGGCACAGAACAAGAGCCGTGCTGCCTCAGACCATGTGTCATTGAACTCAGCTTTTTTTTTTCCAGTGGCTTTGATGATCCACTTTCATGATGAACTCCTGTGCCTCGTCTTGCTCTAGTTATCTCCATATTTTTTTTAACCAGAATACTGGTTAAAAAAAAAAGTTAAGAATAAAACTTTTTAGGTGGAACTGTCTTGTTTGACCATCTGCAACAGGATTTTTTCTTATTGTTTGTTCAGGATGTGCTTAGAAAAAAAACAAGTCTGGGGAGACATACACACAATTTAGAGACAAGTATGTGCAATAAACTATCTTTTTGTTCAAAAACACTCTTTACAGTGCAACCCAGAGCACAGTTCAATCTTCAAAGGAGGGAAAGAAACGCAGCAGCAAAAATCAAGTATATGGGAACCAAATTCATTGCCCCTGGTAGAAAGATTGCAGGTCAATATAAACCATTTCTTTGGTTAAACGATTCTGCATTGTCAGTCTAAAAAGTAAAAAAAAAAAAAAATCAGTGCATACATTCTTAAATGCCTTGGACTGTCTAATTTGCTGTGGAGATCATTTTAATCACATGCAAGAAACATAGAAAGCCCCCAAAATATGCCATATGTTGCGCTGTGATGATTGGGTTGAAAGACTGAATTTGTCACATTTGCTTAGCAGATAAATAGAGTTGAGAAATTGTTTGTGTAACACCTTTGCGTTGAGCTGTCCTCTGTAGTGCAGAGCACCACTGCAGCAGTAACTCAAGTATGAAGAATAGAAGGAGGCATCGGTTGCCCTCTAGTGATACTGACAGGTACAGTTGCACAGAGAGCTGACTGTATAATTCAGTTAGGTGCAGAGATTTTTGAGGATCAATGGAGCTGCATCCAGCGTGATGATTTCGCATGCACACATAACCTTGTGTTAACATTACCTTCTAAAGTCTATACGAAGGGGATATATATTATATTCCCATATAGCACAACAAATGTGAGAAAACAAATAAAAACAAATTTGACCCCTGAGCACAAGTCAGCATTCATAGACCCCAGGTCTAACTTTCTAATACACTGACTGAGGCATATATAAAATATCCTCATGGACGTTGACATCCTTTCCTATAAATCTGAGAACAAAAGCACATGTTACATTCACTTTGTCTCATTCACACTTGTGCTTTAGATGTTAGGAAAAGCATAAAAACATTTACTTCCAACTACACGTTGTCTCTATTTTGCTACGAAAAAGAATGACGAACTTCCAGCGTGATTTTGTCTCAGCTCCAGTAAGAGTTTGTAGAACCTAAAGTGTCTTAAATCACTGGCCAAACCTTCTCTCAAATCCTCAGGTTTGTGGACATGATCAACCAACTATGTGAAGAGGTGAGCTGTCCCTCATCCTCTATGCTCCGGATCCTGCTCCTGTCAGAGTCTTAGGGCTCTGAGACACTCAGCTGGCAGCATGACAGTCCGTGTCCAAGTCTGAGGCCTCAGCCTCATCCGCAGATCCGCTGAGGGAGGGGTAAGGCCTTGGCTGGTCTAAGTTGACGTAGGTAACCTTCAGACTGATGTAGTGCTCTCCTTCCAGACAGAACAGGATGTGTTGGATGTCTGTAACCAGACTGTGGAAGCTAGGTCTGCGCTCAGGCTCTGGGTCCCAACATGTCAGCATGATTGAATACCTGTGGAATGAATCGATATGTAAATCTGAGAATGAGTTAGTGCTTGAGTAGCAGGTGAGTAAACTACTGAATGATGGTTGCTGAGCTTAAGAATTATATACTACAACTGAGGAAAAACTGACACACAATTGCTGAAGCTATTGCACTGTATCATGATGTTATGTGATATTCATATGGTGCTGCTATTATTCTTACAGTGTATCAGGGCAAAACTGTGGCTGTGGAAGCCGACGTCCCTTCAACAAGTAGTTTGTGATATCATAGGGGTCCACATCTGGATATGGACTGGCACCTCTGGTCAACAGCTCCCACATTAAGATGCCATACGACCACTGGGAAACACAGAGGCAATGTATTTTAGATACAAATATAATAGACACAGACATATTTCTGTGGCCTGGATTAAGTACACTCACCACATCAGACTTGGTGGTGAACTTCTGTGTTTGCAGGCTTTCAATGGCCATCCACTTCACTGGCAGCTTTGCCCGCTTGTGATCTTGAACGCTGTAGTATTCCTTGTCATAGATGTCCCTTGCCATGCCAAAATCAGCCACCTTCACCGTGAAGGTTTCATCCAGCCTGAAAAGAGGTGACATCTTAAGAAAGGATCAACCAGATGATGTATCTCTAAACTCAAGGCCTACGCCTAAATTTACACAAATCTGGAGGATCGGTGTTGATGATCTGTGATGCTCCCATTAGATATTTGCCATGCACATGTAGGGAGAAAGGTCAGACAATGAGAATGGTATCAGATGTATTATCTAATTCTCTCTAAGAAAGGAAAAAGGTTTACCACCCAAAATGTCAAACTATTCCTTAAATATGTATCGGCAAATAAACAGATCATACAAAGCAAAAAAAACTTTACCACCAGTGTCACAATTATTGATCATCCTAAAAAGACCTTGCACGGATAAGGTCATCTATTTTGCTTTAACACGTCTTTCAGTACAGCATGCAGATGACACGTCAACTTGTCCAGGGACAGTGAAATGGCCTCCTGCGGGCAAGACAAAGCTTTTCCACTGACATCTCACAGGCCAGTCATAAGTGTATGATTCACACTTACATGCAGTTACGTGCAGCCAGGTCTCTGTGGACAAATTTTTTCTGGGCTAAATACTCCATCCCCTTGGCAACCTGAAGCCCAAACCCGATCAGGTCTTTCACTGTTGGGTTCTGTGGAGGACAAAGACATAGTAAAATAGAGCTGACTAAACCTAGAGCTCATGGTCTCCAGTAGTTAAAAACTCCAGGCCAGGTTGAGAGAGAGCAAATATTCACAGTCATGACCCTGCTGGTCCAGAGAGTCTCATTGCGTAAGTTACCCTTTTCTCAGAACGGATGAAATGACGCACATCCCCGTGCTTCATGTATGGTAGTACCACCAGAGGGAGCCCTTCTTTAGGTAGCATGATGCCCAGCAGAGACAGTATGTTAGGGTGGTGGAAACCTTTCATGATGATGCCTTCTCTAAGGAACTGGTCCACCTCCCTCAAATCTGTGATCCCTGTTTGTGAAACACATGCTGTTATACAGACAAGCCTAGCAGCCAAGAGCTCATGAAATGATGATTTCCTTAATAGAATAGGCATTCACATACTGTTCAACGATTTTACAGCGCAGTGGGTCTCTTGCTTATTGCTGTCTATCAGGTATCCATGGTAAACTGTCCCAAAGTGGCCTGCACACGAAGAAAAAGTGGTTGTTATGGAAGTTCTGTGAAGAAAGAAAGAAAGAAAGACAAACAAAACAAACAAAACAGACCACAAGACTTACCTTTGCCAATTATCTGGCTATCCTCAATTCTGAGCATGTCAGCAGGGATCAGCACATCTTTGACTTCTTCAAGGAGATCAGAACTCATGGAGTTATTGTCCAGTGGCACTAAAGGGATGGACAGATGATCATAGCTGGCAGCATATAATAAACCTTGGAATGCCATTCCTCCTGATCCTGATGTTTGACTGGACAGATCTACTGCAACACACAAGCAAAAACACACACACTGAGACGGTGTAAAGTTGTAAAAAGCCAGTCGAATCTTTTGGTACTACTCAAACCGAACAGACTTTCTCTTTATTCAGTAGGTTCTAAAGATACAGAGAAATTTAACTAATATGTGCCCTGATGTTTTACATTTATGTATTTATTTACCAGTCTCTGTACAATACTACAATGTTTTGTAAAATATATATATACATAAGGTTGTACTCCATGGGGCTGCTGCAGGGTTAGATGTACAGGATGAAGACAAGGGAATGGAAGGAACAGATGGAAGATTCAATTTTAGATTTAATATGGAGTTATGAATGAATGATTAAATGAATGAATGAATTTTAGATGCCACACCTCGCCTGTAGTCCCCTGTCGGCGAGAAATCAGAGTTGCTGCCAATGCGGTTCCGTGAAAGCATTGTTGATAAACGATTCTCTACTTCAGCTGAAAGGACACATTCGATAAATAAAAATCTTTGATCATTAAACCAAATATACGGTAAAGTCGGTGGAAAACGTCCCAGTTGGTCAAGGGAATAATAAACAAACCATAGCTCAGAATGAGCATACATTAAAAACTTCTCTTTACAAATCATAATCACAGTTGTAATGTATAATTTTTCTCACCTCTCTTTTTCTTCCTTATATGGATCATCACGAGTAATGCCAGGCCAGCACCCGCTGCAAGTGCAGCAAGGATCCCCAGTATAATGCCCACAATCAAAGTTTTGTTGTTGTAATAGACCACTTTACCCACGTCATTTTCTTCCCCGTTCACAAACACCTACAGCGGTGGATAAGACGATTACTTCCGATAAATATACACGATTTATTATCGGCTGATAAGAAGGTTGATGATTCTCTTACCTTGACGGGCAATCCCTCGCTGGGAATGATCAGGCCTTTAGGAATCCTGCACGTCAGCTCATTTAGCAGCACTTGAACGTTGCAGTCCACACCACCGATGGTCATTGTGATCTTCATGCATGTGCTCACTGTATTCAGTTTACTATGCTGTTACATATGTGAAAAGAAAAACCGTTTCAATTCAAAAGACAAGTTTTAATTGGTGTTCTGCGTAGAGTAATATACTGAAGAGTGCAAGCTTTGCTATTATTAAGATTTTCATACAAATGCATGAGGAAAAAAAAATGTGTGTGTGAACATACATGCAATGATACTTCTGTATCTCCTGGTTTTAGAGGTAATTCATTGTCATCATTTTCAAAGGGAATGACTTTTGCGTCAGGGTGGTAGTCAAAACGTCTCTTCCAGAGGTCACGTCCTCCGTCCATGTGAATAAAAATCTGTCCTGTGTCAGACTTTTCCTGTGGCATTTCCTCTTGAAAAGCAGGGGTCCAGCACTCCATATGCGTGGCATTTGCTGTGCCATTGCACACCTCAAGGGAAGTCAGCATATAACATTTCATTTTAAATCTCGACTACTGTGAAAGTTTGGCATAATTGTAAAGCAATATTGGGAAAGAATGAGTATGGCTGGCCTTTCAGTCACAAACAGGTTCACAAACTGCAGCTCAGTTTATATGTTAATGTAAAAGTACATCATTAAATTGCATTTCTCTGCACACAGCATGCAGTTTAATGACCTGCTTTGAATTGAATAATGCGCTGCGTCAATAAAGTCTTACACAAGGACTAAATCAAAGCTTGAACTTACTTGTTGAACAGATTGCTCGTGGAGATTATTGGGAGTGTACTGAACCACAGTTCTGTGGGCAGAGTCAAGATTCTGACCTTCTATCACCAGCTTGGAGCCACTGAATGACAATATAAATAAGCATGTTAATAAATAAAACTCACTGCGTGCAAACATGGTTTGTCTTGTTATGATCATTTGAAACATGAGTCTTTCAATAAGACCAGACTGGGGTCAGTGTCCTACCATCTGAAACTGCAATGAGGATAAACAGAGTCTATAACAGGGTTTTTCTTGTAGGAGAACATCTTAGTGGCGGTCACTTCAGAGCCGTCAATCACAACTTTCACATGTACTGTCCTGACACCTGCTGCAGCTGTTGTGTTGCAGACGATTGAAGATAAAGCCCCACTTCTTTCATGAGCACTGAAAGCAGTACAGATCACAGTAACCAAATGTGTGCAACACTAAAAGCCTTGAATGGAAAGGGATATCTGAACACAAGGGATATCTGTTAACATCAACATGTAGCCATCTACGTTGCTCACCTTTGAATGTTACACTTGTTGTTTCCAAAGAAGACATCTCTCTGTATCCCAGAACTAAGATACCTGCCTGTCAGTGTAACCTCTGTTCCTCCAAACAAGGGCCCGTAGTCAGGTCTGATTTCTGTTATGCTCGGCTCCTGATTAAACAGAGGTGAAACATAACATGTTACAATCTAACATTGCATTATACACAATATTCCCATACATAAATATCATACAGAGAATGTATTGATACATAATCTCATTACAAAAAGATGTTATTCTCACCACAAAAGAGAAGCCAGACTTCTGAGCTATGCCTTCGATTGAGTAGCGACCTTCCACTTCACCCTCGTGCACTTCCAGAGTGATGTTAAGGTTCTGGTTTGGTGTTTGGTCGTGAATCCTGCATACTAGCCTGTATTAAGGAAACAAGAAAATGATGTGTCTATGAATTCTGTAGATGGAGATATTCCAGTGAAGCAGGAGTCAAGTGGCTATAAATACTATTGGTTTATCAAAAAAGCATTGTCACCAAAACATGGATGGAGAGGCTTGTTCATCCGTTGTGCGTGTGAAAATGAACTGTCTGTGTGGCATGTTATTTTGCATCTGTACTACTCACAATTCACTCTCGCTCTTTTCAGGCAGGATAGTACACAAAGTCCCAGAGCCCACTGTGATGATGTGGGTTTTGCCGCTGATGATGGCAGGTCGTAGACCGGACTGAAAGTCCCTTCCGCATAATGTCACCTCTGTCTCCCCACCAGCAGGTGCCATCTTTGGGAAAAACTGCAGACAGAAGGATCACCATCCAGAATATTAATCAGTGTCTCAGTCCAATCAGTGTGATCAATGTGACTTTATGACTCATGGTTTTTAAACTTCATGCACTGCGTAATCAGTTACAGCTAGCAGCAGATATACCTCTGTTATGACAGGTGCACAAGAGTCTTTGTTCCACTGCGAGGTACATTCATGCTGCCGCGAGCAGATTCCTGAACACCAGCCACAGTTCATGAAGCGTGGAGCCGTCAAACACGCAGAGCATGTCATAAAATGAGTACACCCTGGTCCTGCAGTGGGCACCCTGAACATCTTGATGATGGAAAGATGGAGATGAGGGTGGGGTTAGCAAGATGTAAAAGAGTCAAAAGATAAGCACTCATTAGAAATATGTACCTGATTTCCAGCAACAAAGAGAAGTAAATCCTCTGAGTACACAGTTGCTGTCCGGGATATTGCGGCCTCTCCCAGAGAATAGTTGGCAAAAACCAAAGTCCTGTACGTGGTAAGAACCACCTAAATCAGAGAGACGGAGAGGTGATGTCACAAAGATATTAGTTTTTGGACGTCTTAATATGTAATCAAAAAAAGCAGAGAAAGAAATATAATATACACCAGGTGTATCTTGTTACCTGCAGTATCCTGCCATCTGAGGTACCAAAATGGCCCAGCGTGCAATTCCCGAGAGTGGTGACCAGGACAGAAGTGAACAGGACATCTCTCATCCGCCTGTTGAAGAGGTCTACTCTGTAGTATGGCTTTGACACCAGAGTGGGCATGTCACTACATGTGTCATTACCTTCAGAGCTCTGTGCGAGTGGGTGAAACAAACAGCACAACGATGTTAGCACATAGCCACTAACAGGAAGTCAAATACTTTTTTATACTTTACAGCAACGGGGCCCTTCTAAGCAGATAAAGTACATTTACATGCATGACCTTTGACGGGAATAAGGGTTGAAGGAGTAAGCAGAGGGAATATTCATTCATCCTGTCACAGCAACAAGCTGTGAGAGCTACAAGGTCATAAAACAGCAGTGACTCCAGCTCCATATGTTGATTTGGTATGCAGATTGTCGGCTATTGAAACTGGACTGGAATTAAAAGTAATTATCTAAAGGATAGAGGATATGGATGAGGATATGTTGAACAAATGGTAAACATTCCATTCTTAAGCAAAGTGTCTGACCTGCCCCAGCATGCCTCTGTTCGCATGAAACTTTCAATGACCTATATTCATGTCGTTTGAACTTTTCAGTCACTTAGTACCTCAACATTTCGTTCTTGAATACACTCGGTATCTAAGTTATGTTATCGCACTCATCAAATTCAAGAAAAAAGTTGATGAAAACAGTTTTCAGATAGATTTACGATGGTTTCAGCCATCAATTTGCCGCTCACATAAAATGCGTAAAAGCCAGGCACGGTGTAACACAGTCCCTCCCCTTGAAATTCCACCTTTTTATCAGTAGGATTTATAACTTGTGTTTGTTAACACACATTCCTGTAAGTGTACACATGGCTGTAAGAGCTCAAAGGACACAGTCTGAACTCCATAAAAGGAACAGACCACACCTGTATTATTTTGTCGAGAACCAAAGCCAAATGATCTGGCCAGTTAAAGTTATTAACCTTTTGAGTTTCTGTTTCCCTCCACTTAACTTCCTTCTCTTGTAGCATATCAGTTAAGGACACTGACCGGGATCAAACTTTTAAAACAAAGAAAAAGATAAATACGGCGAGCGGAGAAACCACTGAGTCAGTTATCTTGAAATACATAACGCTCTGCACTGTAAACAGCTGCCACCCTTTCACTAAGAAAGACTGAAACTTAACAGAGCAGAGAAATGGTGTGGCAATGTGCAGGTCACACATCTGACTCATCCACCTCTCCCAGTTTTCTCATCTGGCCTTGCTCTCTCTCTCTCTCTCTCTTTCTCTCTCACACACACACACACACACACACACACCCCTTCATCCAGCAGTTAAGATTTACATTATGTACTAACTGTAGCGTCACTACATAATATACTATCTGTCATGGCTCAAGACAATATTAAACTGTAAGCTTAATGATAAACTGCTTGTTCCGATCACAGGTGACTAAATGACACACTGTTTGTCTGGACATGTCACTTCCTGTCTGGACACAGCGGACCTTTGTACTATTACTCTGCTCTGGTGACAGCCAGACATATAAAAAAAAACAGAGTTACTCACTTCATGTGGGCAGCTCTCGCATGGCTGGAAGTGGCACAGACCTCTGGACAGCTGCTCTGTACCTGACTTGCAGCAGGCCTCCACGCCCTTGTCAATCGCAAGGTTTACTTTAGTCAAAGGGAAAGCACACAGGGCTGAGTTTTTCTGAGGTTCACCGTGCTCATTCACCTCTGCAAACACCCCGTACAGAATATCTTCTTTCCCGTCCACCCCCAGCTCTTCGGCCAAGTCCTTCCCCGCTCGACCAAAGTGGGCTGCTTGTAGCCCGTTATACACAATGTCCTTGTAACCCTCACTCCGTCTCCTGCGTTTTGGTTCATACCGACACTCCAGGACCACCTCTCTGTACATCCACACCTCAGGAATTAATATGGGCAGTCGTCCCAGACGAGTCTGAAAAGCTGAATTCTTCCTTGAGGGATTTTCTCTTTGCAGGGACAGAAAGTAAACATACTCCTTGGTAGAGAAGCTGTAGATGTAATTAACCCGGTAAGAGTCCCGGAAACTGGGGAGCACTGTCAGGCCGTTCATGACCATATGAAAGCCATCTTCAGTTGAAAGTGGCCTCATCACTGATATGGACCTCCTGGGATACCTCTGTGCCACTTCGTCATTGACAGAGGCTGCTACAAAGAAATAGGACGTGGCTGCCTGTTCAACAATGGTGACTGTGGTGCCAAGTGGGCTGGCCAGACAGTCAGGACAGTTGGATGGAGAGTTTTGCTCTTTTTTGTACAGACACTGAGGCTCAGGCAGGGGAAGGGAAACGTCAATGGAGTAACAGATCCCATGCTGAGTACTCCCACAGATGTACAAGTACAAATAGGGAAGTCCAGCAGGATCCAAAAGCAGAACCTCATTGTCTGTATCCACTGGATCCCCAGGATCTGTTTCTATGTCACACACCTGACAGGTTTGACATTCTGGGCTGCCAACAGGTCCAGTTCTCACTTCCCATATTTTTTGCATAGTATAGTTGACTGCCTCTATTACATTCTGGCATCCAACATACACCTCTGGCTGCTGCGAATCCGTCTGCACCACTATGTTCTGTATGGGCCTGTCTGACTGGAAGTGGGGGAGGGAATATTTTACAGTGAAATCCACCGGCCTCTGAGGAGCAGGACATGGGTGCTGCCCTGAGGCGATGTGTGTCTGTATCCATATGCATACTGTCAGCAAGGCGGCCCAAGTGACCATCTCCACGTCACAGTCCACAGTGATTGATTGCTACCTATAAGATACCTTCCTCAAAGAGAACATTCTGGAGGACGAGCAGGAGCTCTGTGAGGGGAGACAAGACAAGAAATGTTGAGATTTAACAGGCAGAGAAGTAACATTTTATTGTCACGTTCAGGAGAGTTTCACTGCTTTTGAAGTGTGCCTGGGAGATAATGTCAACATTTGAGCTTGTTTAAACTGAGAAATACATGAGGAACTGTGGAAAGAGGAAAAAAGTATCAGCTGCTGTTTTCCCGCTGAGCCCCGTGATGTGGTAGCTGATGGGTTTTCTTTTTCTTTTTCTTTTTTTAAACATCTACAATGTAAGACAAATGACACGTGATATTCACTTACATGGCATCGCTGTGAAACTATGAAGCCAGTGGAAAAATAATAAACTCTAATGTGGGCAAGACATGATATGCTGCAACTTGTGGAGCAACTATGGAAATGTTCAGGTCCCTAGAGCCATATACAGAGTAAACAGAAAAGTTTAAGTAAGCCTAATATTGTCAAAACGTAAAAATACCTAAATCAATGGGCACTCATATGCAAATAGTTATCCCGTATTCCTAATTTTAATACACCACTGGGCATTGGTCAACTATTTTCAAAGTTTCCAAACAGAGAAGAACAGGTAGTCTACACTCTACACAATGTTTTCTAAAGGGAGAACATTGTGTTAAGATGACCATAATTAAGATCATTTATACTGGTAGTAACTGTTAAAATTAAATGTCATGTTCAGGAAAGCAAAAACTGAGCCGGTGAGTTGTGAATCGTAACCAAAGTGCGTTGAGTCATTCATTAACGTGGGCCAATAGCCGCCCCAGACATCCTCTCTCCCTAAAAGTTTATAAATTAATACATCTTACCTCGCTTTGAAAAAGTGTTGGGGTGTCGTTGAAATTCACCCAAAGATCCCAAAACGTGAATTCTTGACGAACTCATAAATTTCCTGCGTTAGTGACGCTCTACTCACTGACTTGCAGCGAACTCACCTGACAGTGCCACTGCCGCACAGTTTACACCGACACTGAACTAGTCATTCAGTCAAGTCATTAACAGCCTCTAAATCTGCGAACAAAAGCAGGATGTTACGCTCACCTTCAAAATAAAAGCACGACAGGAAAAAGCTGATATGAAATCTATCAGGAGTTCAATTTGTTTTTTGATGCTCTCAGCAAAACTTTACACATTCACATGGCAACAGAACATGAAATAGACTAACAAAGAATGAAACAGAAAAAACAATTAGTCTAGGCTATTTAAAATAATGGACACAACAAAATATACATACATTACATACATACATTTAAGAGCTTTATAGATTATAAGTCTTGTATGAGAGGGGCCTTTCGAAAATAATGCCACAAACAGTTGACTCAGCTGTCTCTTTATTTAATCCCAGAACGACTCTGTGTTGTTGTTGTCATGCTGCAGAATGATTGTGAGACCGATCAGATGGCTCTCTGATGATAATGCATGATGGATAAGAATCTGACTATCCAAACTGCTTCACAGAACTTCTCACAGTATGATAAGCTTATTACATTATAGGCCATAGTCCCACACAATTAGATCATTGTCCAAATGCATGTGTGCTAAAGTAATACTATAACAAATAAACAGTAATTTTACAAGAACACTATGTAGTTCACAAAATAACATTTAAAGTCAAGTTTCTTGAAAAAAATCAACTGAAATGAAACATCCTTGAATTTGAGTAGAACTGTTATTTTAAATAAATAAGATGCATATTAATTCAAATTGTCCCCAATATTGTGCCATTGCATGAGCTAATATATATACATCTTTTTTTTCTTTTGTCTCTTATAGTTTATTTTGTTGTTTTTTGCAACACCCACTGTAATACCACTTCACACATTCACACATTCAACAGTGTCACCTGCTTGTGATGAACCCACGCAGGAAACGCTGCAAGATTCTCATTAGTAATAGATTTTAGCTTTATTTTGAAGGTTGAAGACCAGAAATGACGTCGTCACTCTGACTCGCTTGACTCTAATATTCCCCAAGTGGGTGCAGCCCCTGTCAAGCCGCGCCCGCAACAAGGATGTGTTAAATAGTTGCGAAATGTGACCATCTCAAAAATATCCTCATCGTTTCCTTCCCAAGAGTCATATCATATCACCATCTGCAGCCCCTTTCCACTCAGGCACTATTGTGTCAAAGTTTGTGGAAAAACTCTCTCACCATTTGAAAAATAGTTTTGTTCTATCTACGTCTGTAGGATTTTTGCCAAAAATGCATTGCTTTCAGATGAGAGATGAAGTTACTCTTCAAATATAGGCAACTCCATCCAGGAAGATATGAAAAGAATGTCTTCACTCTCCAGTCAGACCCACTCTTTTGTGACCTTAACAATAAATCGCCTAACAATAGTAAAAATAAAGAAAGTAACAAAACATAGGACTGCCATAAGGGAAGAGTTAAATAAGTTGACACTGCTGGATATGGCAATTATATTATTATAACCTTATTATGAGACTATAAATCATCATACAGTGTCTAAATAGAAATGCGATCACTGACAAAATGAGGCATTATAGATCGAGAAGTTAAACATCTACTGACTGAATCCAAAGTTCAGAAATCACAGACTGTTTGAAAAATCTGCATTACAATATTCCTCCAAAGAAAAATGCAGTTTCACTGCTCCAACCCTCAAACCATACGGATCCAGTGTTATTAATCTTAATGTTACAGAGATAAAGTTTGATAAGTACTGCAGCAAAAAAAAAAAAAAATGCATGGCACTGAGAAAGCTGTTTTGATTGGAGCTTGACAAGGACTTGGTGGACTGAGGCTGTAGGTATGACAAGACTAAACAAACAGTGTGTTAAGGACATCGCATCCAGTCCTCGAGTTTCTGTCTGCTCCTGTGTTAACACATTGACTCATAAGACAGGGAGTCAGGGACCAAACAACCATAACATGCAGGACATGGGGCTATGCAGCTCAGATCAGGTCCATACATGGGATATTTTGTGCCGCTATTAACAGGAGAATCTCCAGAAATGCAGTCATGTCTGAGTTTGAAATTCCCGGGGAAGGTTTTAAAATAAACTATAACTGCCATAAAATGGTTATTTTTTCCAACTCAAGTTTTGTGAGTGGCCAAAACTTCTAGTCTAGATCAATTTCTTGTCAAGTTTCATGTTTAAGGATGTGTTTAGAAGTTCATGTATGAATGTGTACCAAACACATATATTATATATACAATATATGGTGATCATCCTAAGTATTAAATTCACACAAGACAATGGAAAATGATGGCTTCTCCAGTCTACGAAAACATACATAAATAAAAAAAAAGAAAACCATAACATTTCTGATTATGTTTGATAATACACTATATTATCTACTGGTTATTAGCTATACTCTTTGTTAAACATTTCTTGTAGTGCAAAAAAAGGTAAAAAAAATAAAATGAAACTGTGGAAACTTTTCAGTTTTGGTTAAATCCAGCTGATTCTTATATTTACACATTTACACGCCTCATAAAGACAGTGAAGAAACATTGATCCCCATTTCATATTGAGAGGTACATATTACCTAACACTGTATCCTGCTTGAATACGCCTGTATTTGGAGCTATAGTAGATGGCTGACGAGAATCAAAGAAAGCAAAGACAGAAAGAGGAAGGAGATAAACAAACAATTGTTGGAAAACCATGCATGACAGTGACAGTAAGATTACAACATAAGATTACACAAAATTGTTTATATTATATGGTGTATTGCAATAATTTTCACCATCACATGGACATTGACGCTGATTTCAGGTTCATTTTTAGCCCCTGAATTAGTCTGTTCCTCCTTCACACGCCACAATGAGCTTAGTGGTTGGCCATCTTCCTGACTCTACTTGATACATAATGATGAATCATGTCTGGTCACTCCTAAGCATGCACTACTTTCTTCTAAATGAGTTTTCTTTTGACTCCTCACCAGACTGAGATTGTTGAAATTAATGACACAGACATTAAGCAATATGAGGGTGTATCTTTGTTATTGTCTCCATGGAAATTTTAAAGATCCCCTCCAGGCATGATTTATGGCATATATAAATACCAGTGTTGGGGAGTGGTGAACTACATAGTAACTTATTTACATTTTGCAGTAACTTGCTGGTAGTTCAAATATATTCATATGTGCATAGTTAATCAAGTAGTTAAATTACTTTTGGGGGGAATTTTATTGTGTAGCTAACTGAAACAATTTGGAGCCATCAAAGGAGAGGAATTATTTTTTATTTTTTAATTCTCGTTTACTTCTCTACTGTAATTGAACCTCCTTTGACCAGCCCTGCCCCCTTTTTCGTCCATCCTGACCACTGTGAGGATATACTCCGGCAATGCATTTGTCAGGAAGTCCACACCACAGACTTGTCCCTTGTGTAATGCATGTGCAGAAACCATGGGCATGCATTGCTCAGTGGTCACACACAGCTACAACGTCATCATGAACAAACCTCCTGAATCTCAGCCTGAGGAAGAATCACCACGGCCAAACTTGAAACTTGTTATTTTATACAAAACCAAAGCTGACGTTCCAGCACTTTCCCATGAATAGTGAGGTATTCTAGCTTTTTGGTTTATGTTATGTCCTGTAAACAAGTATGCAGTTTTTGCAGTGACCTCAACTGAGTGGCATTTTTTGTTGGCATGTGACTTTTTTGGATTATATTTTGTTATAATTTCATATCACATGTACATAATTCTTTTTCTTTTAACAAAGTAGTTTGAACTACTTTTTCTAAGTAGCTTTAGTTAAGTAGCTTCCCCAACAATGATAAAAAAAAAACTCAGATTTGAATAATAATTTCTGACTGGTATGGTTTTTCCACAAAAAGTTAACAAATTAAAAAAATCACATGTCATACATGTTCCACATTGAAAAATGCATAATGTATGAATATGCTTAATTAGCTCATTTCAAAAGTGTACACTGCTCCTGGACACTGCACAAAGACATCTCCTATATTTCACTGGGTGTATTCCACAACACTTGAGTAAGTTGCATCTTGGCCTATGACAGGCTGCCAAACCAGCTGCGATGTGTCAAATCCTGCTCGTACATACATGTCTTAAACTCAGATTTAAAGTGAGCACTGAGAAATCTCCCTCTCCAGCAGAAGACTGTGAGACAAACTCTGCACATACATCATTCTGCACTGTCAAGTCAAACATCCAAGTGAAATAACAATACGCAGATTGCATTTTTGAGTGGAAAGGGAGTGAAAGTTATTATGGAAGGCCAATTCTTCAAAGTTTCTGCTGCAACATCAGGTATTAGCTGACAATAATTTGGACCTCAATGAGCAAATGAATACATTTAAGGTAAAGTTTCACTCTCAAATCTTCCAGTTCCACCTTCAAACCCACATTCAAAAACAGGGAATGTAAACTTTAATATTCCATTTTTTTTTTCACATGAGAAGTCGGGAAACAGTGAACAGTCCCGCGTCGCCCTCTGGTGGCCAGACCAGAAAATATTTCTTAGCACAATGAAAAACCTTGCTGAGGATTATCAGAAACGAAAGTGAAATACATGCATTTCATTTAAAGCAGTCATTTCAGTATATGCCCCTGTATTCGCTTTCTCTTCCTGGTTCTTCCTGTTCGGTTTCTGTTTTAAGGTGTCAGTCCAGCTGAGCCTCTTCAGTTCAAATCGGATAGTTCATATAGGAACCTGTTAACTGCAAAGTGCAACATGTCAGAACCCGGAGTGATCGATGAGGGATTCTACTCCAGACAGCTGTAAGTACATACTGGTGAGGGATGAAGTTTAACTGTACAGACTGCTGGTAACACAGTTTCACCGTGTCTCCCACCTGCACAGGTATGTCCTGGGGCGTGAGGCGATGCAGCGGATGGGCACAGCCAGCGTCCTCATAGCGGGAATGCGTGGTCTTGGAGTAGAAATAGCCAAGAATGTGATCCTGTCCGGGGTCAAGTCTGTCACGGTCCAGGACGAAGGTCACACACAGTGGAC